ATCATTCAAGGCGAGGTTCAATCATTCAAGGCGAGGTTCAATCATTCAAGGCGAGGTTCAATCATTCAAGGCGAGGTTCAATCATTCAAGGCGAGGTTCAATCATTCAAGGCGAGGTTCAATCATTCAAGGCGAGGTTCAATCATTCAAGGCGAGGTTCAATCATTCAAGGCGAGGTTCAATCATTCAAGGCGAGGTTCAATCATTCAAGGCGAGGTTCAATCATTCAAGGCGAGGTTCAATCATTCAAGGCGAGGTTCAATCATTCAAGGCGAGGTTCAATCATTCAAGGCGAGGTTCAATCATTCAAGGCGAGGTTCAATCATTCAAGGCGAGGTTCAATCATTCAAGGCGAGGTTCAATCATTCAAGGCGAGGTTCAATCATTCAAGGCGAGGTTCAATCATTCAAGGCGAGGTTCAATCATTCAAGGCGAGGTTCAATCATTCAAGGCGAGGTTCAATCATTCAAGGCGAGGTTCAATCATTCAAGGCGAGGTTCAATCATTCAAGGCGAGGTTCAATCATTCAAGGCGAGGTTCAATCATTCAAGGCGAGGTTCAATCATTCAAGGCGAGGTTCAATCATTCAAGGCGAGGTTCAATCATTCAAGGCGAGGTTCAATCATTCAAGGCGAGGTTCAATCATTCAAGGCGAGGTTCAATCATTCAAGGCGAGGTTCAATCATTCAAGGCGAGGTTCAATCATTCAAGGCGAGGTTCAATCATTCAAGGCGAGGTTCAATCATTCAAGGCGAGGTTCAATCATTCAAGGCGAGGTTCAATCATTCAAGGCGAGGTTCAATCATTCAAGGCGAGGTTCAATCATTCAAGGCGAGGTTCAATCATTCAAGGCGAGGTTCAATCATTCAAGGCGAGGTTCAATCATTCAAGGCGAGGTTCAATCATTCAAGGCGAGGTTCAATCATTCAAGGCGAGGTTCAATCATTCAAGGCGAGGTTCAATCATTCAAGGCGAGGTTCAATCATTCAAGGCGAGGTTCAATCATTCAAGGCGAGGTTCAATCATTCAAGGCGAGGTTCAATCATTCAAGGCGAGGTTCAATCATTCAAGGCGAGGTTCAATCATTCAAGGCGAGGTTCAATCATTCAAGGCGAGGTTCAATCATTCAAGGCGAGGTTCAATCATTCAAGGCGAGGTTCAATCATTCAAGGCGAGGTTCAATCATTCAAGGCGAGGTTCAATCATTCAAGGCGAGGTTCAATCATTCAAGGCGAGGTTCAATCATTCAAGGCGAGGTTCAATCATTCAAGGCGAGGTTCAATCATTCAAGGCGAGGTTCAATCATTCAAGGCGAGGTTCAATCATTCAAGGCGAGGTTCAATCATTCAAGGCGAGGTTCAATCATTCAAGGCGAGGTTCAATCATTCAAGGCGAGGTTCAATCATTCAAGGCGAGGTTCAATCATTCAAGGCGAGGTTCAATCATTCAAGGCGAGGTTCAATCATTCAAGGCGAGGTTCAATCATTCAAGGCGAGGTTCAATCATTCAAGGCGAGGTTCAATCATTCAAGGCGAGGTTCAATCATTCAAGGCGAGGTTCAATCATTCAAGGCGAGGTTCAATCATTCAAGGCGAGGTTCAATCATTCAAGGCGAGGTTCAATCATTCAAGGCGAGGTTCAATCATTCAAGGCGAGGTTCAATCATTCAAGGCGAGGTTCAATCATTCAAGGCGAGGTTCAATCATTCAAGGCGAGGTTCAATCATTCAAGGCGAGGTTCAATCATTCAAGGCGAGGTTCAATCATTCAAGGCGAGGTTCAATCATTCAAGGCGAGGTTCAATCATTCAAGGCGAGGTTCAATCATTCAAGGCGAGGTTCAATCATTCAAGGCGAGGTTCAATCATTCAAGGCGAGGTTCAATCATTCAAGGCGAGGTTCAATCATTCAAGGCGAGGTTCAATCATTCAAGGCGAGGTTCAATCATTCAAGGCGAGGTTCAATCATTCAAGGCGAGGTTCAATCATTCAAGGCGAGGTTCAATCATTCAAGGCGAGGTTCAATCATTCAAGGCGAGGTTCAATCATTCAAGGCGAGGTTCAATCATTCAAGGCGAGGTTCAATCATTCAAGGCGAGGTTCAATCATTCAAGGCGAGGTTCAATCATTCAAGGCGAGGTTCAATCATTCAAGGCGAGGTTCAATCATTCAAGGCGAGGTTCAATCATTCAAGGCGAGGTTCAATCATTCAAGGCGAGGTTCAATCATTCAAGGCGAGGTTCAATCATTCAAGGCGAGGTTCAATCATTCAAGGCGAGGTTCAATCATTCAAGGCGAGGTTCAATCATTCAAGGCGAGGTTCAATCATTCAAGGCGAGGTTCAATCATTCAAGGCGAGGTTCAATCATTCAAGGCGAGGTTCAATCATTCAAGGCGAGGTTCAATCATTCAAGGCGAGGTTCAATCATTCAAGGCGAGGTTCAATCATTCAAGGCGAGGTTCAATCATTCAAGGCGAGGTTCAATCATTCAAGGCGAGGTTCAATCATTCAAGGCGAGGTTCAATCATTCAAGGCGAGGTTCAATCATTCAAGGCGAGGTTCAATCATTCAAGGCGAGGTTCAATCATTCAAGGCGAGGTTCAATCATTCAAGGCGAGGTTCAATCATTCAAGGCGAGGTTCAATCATTCAAGGCGAGGTTCAATCATTCAAGGCGAGGTTCAATCATTCAAGGCGAGGTTCAATCATTCAAGGCGAGGTTCAATCATTCAAGGCGAGGTTCAATCATTCAAGGCGAGGTTCAATCATTCAAGGCGAGGTTCAATCATTCAAGGCGAGGTTCAATCATTCAAGGCGAGGTTCAATCATTCAAGGCGAGGTTCAATCATTCAAGGCGAGGTTCAATCATTCAAGGCGAGGTTCAATCATTCAAGGCGAGGTTCAATCATTCAAGGCGAGGTTCAATCATTCAAGGCGAGGTTCAATCATTCAAGGCGAGGTTCAATCATTCAAGGCGAGGTTCAATCATTCAAGGCGAGGTTCAATCATTCAAGGCGAGGTTCAATCATTCAAGGCGAGGTTCAATCATTCAAGGCGAGGTTCAATCATTCAAGGCGAGGTTCAATCATTCAAGGCGAGGTTCAATCATTCAAGGCGAGGTTCAATCATTCAAGGCGAGGTTCAATCATTCAAGGCGAGGTTCAATCATTCAAGGCGAGGTTCAATCATTCAAGGCGAGGTTCAATCATTCAAGGCGAGGTTCAATCATTCAAGGCGAGGTTCAATCATTCAAGGCGAGGTTCAATCATTCAAGGCGAGGTTCAATCATTCAAGGCGAGGTTCAATCATTCAAGGCGAGGTTCAATCATTCAAGGCGAGGTTCAATCATTCAAGGCGAGGTTCAATCATTCAAGGCGAGGTTCAATCATTCAAGGCGAGGTTCAATCATTCAAGGCGAGGTTCAATCATTCAAGGCGAGGTTCAATCATTCAAGGCGAGGTTCAATCATTCAAGGCGAGGTTCAATCATTCAAGGCGAGGTTCAATCATTCAAGGCGAGGTTCAATCATTCAAGGCGAGGTTCAATCATTCAAGGCGAGGTTCAATCATTCAAGGCGAGGTTCAATCATTCAAGGCGAGGTTCAATCATTCAAGGCGAGGTTCAATCATTCAAGGCGAGGTTCAATCATTCAAGGCGAGGTTCAATCATTCAAGGCGAGGTTCAATCATTCAAGGCGAGGTTCAATCATTCAAGGCGAGGTTCAATCATTCAAGGCGAGGTTCAATCATTCAAGGCGAGGTTCAATCATTCAAGGCGAGGTTCAATCATTCAAGGCGAGGTTCAATCATTCAAGGCGAGGTTCAATCATTCAAGGCGAGGTTCAATCATTCAAGGCGAGGTTCAATCATTCAAGGCGAGGTTCAATCATTCAAGGCGAGGTTCAATCATTCAAGGCGAGGTTCAATCATTCAAGGCGAGGTTCAATCATTCAAGGCGAGGTTCAATCATTCAAGGCGAGGTTCAATCATTCAAGGCGAGGTTCAATCATTCAAGGCGAGGTTCAATCATTCAAGGCGAGGTTCAATCATTCAAGGCGAGGTTCAATCATTCAAGGCGAGGTTCAATCATTCAAGGCGAGGTTCAATCATTCAAGGCGAGGTTCAATCATTCAAGGCGAGGTTCAATCATTCAAGGCGAGGTTCAATCATTCAAGGCGAGGTTCAATCATTCAAGGCGAGGTTCAATCATTCAAGGCGAGGTTCAATCATTCAAGGCGAGGTTCAATCATTCAAGGCGAGGTTCAATCATTCAAGGCGAGGTTCAATCATTCAAGGTGAGGTTCAATCATTCAACTGTGCACCTCTTGAACATTTAGACGTTATCCCCCTCACACTGCAATGGGAGCGCACACGCGTGATAAGAATCAAGAGTGAAGCTCTTGAACATCCACACTATCGCCCGTTCCGTCCCCTTCACCTCGCGGACAATATGCAACACACTTAAAGCAGGGTTCCAAATGTGGACATCTTGAACATAAACACATTTGAGGCGCCTCAAAAGTCGCCAACTGTGGACGTCTTGAACATACACACACCCCCTCCCTCACACGCGTCGCCTCGCTCCCTCCCCTTCAACCTTCACCCTTCACTCGCTGACCAGCAGATGGCAATCGCCACATCATCTCACTCACTTGCCCCTGCTCCCCTCCCCTGTTGTGGCTCCCTTCACCTTTTCCTCTCCCATGCCACACACTCCCGTCCCCAGTATGCTTCGTGCCACTCCATCCTCTTCAGTCTGCATCTCTTAATCGGTTTAACAAACAGCGATGACCGAGCCCCATTCCACCCTCCCCTTCTCGTCTTGAGACGCGTCTCAAAACTACACTCCATCCTCTTCAGTCTGCATCTCTTAATCGGCCTAACGGACGGCGATCACCAAGCCCCAGGCGATCACCAAGCCCCATCCACCCTCCCCTTCTCACCTCCCCTGTTTTCCCTCCCTCGTGCCTTTCTCCCCTTCCACACCCCTCTTCCCCATGCTGACATGACAGATGATCGTCCCCAATACGCCTCGCTCCACTCCATTCTCTTCGGCCCGCATCTCTTAGTCGGACTTACGGACGGCGATCGCGAACTCATCCCGGGCTTTGACCCATCACACCCTGCCACGTGGATCCGCCCTGTGGACCCTGAGACGCTCGACCAGCAGCTGATCTCGCTGTCGCTGTTCGCACCGCCACGTCAGACGCCACATCAGCTGCCACGTCAGCAGGGCCGGGACGGCAACGAGAGTGCCAGTAGCAGTGATGAGAGCACTGAGCAGTACGTTGTCTGGCGCCGGAGCAATGAGACGCAGCCAATGGCAGGTGGCACACGTGGCAGTCCGTTATTGGCTGTGCTGATACGTGGCAGGCCAGGAGAGGGCACAGAGGAGGCCATGTCAGCAACGTTGAGGGTGAGAGGGCCTGTGGAAAAGAGGGGAGGGGACATTGGCAAGGAGGAGGAGGAAGAGTGGCGGTGGGACAGTGGGGGTTTGGCTGCTCTGATTGGCCGGGAGATCTCCTTTGAGTTGCTTGAGATTCCTGGAAGCTTCCTGGCCGTGGATTGGTGTGGTGGTGGCGGTGTGGGGCGGGGGGAGGGGGAGAGGGGCGAGGGAGTAGCAGCAGGGTCGGAGTCAGGCGGGGAGACGTGGAGGCTAGTGTGGCGGACGAGGGGTGAGATGGACGCATGCCGGACTGACATGCTGCAGAGAGGCAAGGCTGAGTCGACTGGAGACATTGGTGCATGCCAGGCTGGGCGGGCTGCTGTGTTCCGACTCATTGCCGGGGAGGAGGAGGGCAGTCAGGAAGTGTTGCAGCTGGAAGGGTTGAGGCTGGAGCTGGCAGACTGCCCTGAGTGGGTTGTTTCTCTGGACACTGGCAGCAGCAGCAGCAGCAGCAGCAGCAGCAGCAGCAGCAGCAGCAGCAGCAGCAGCAGCAGCAGCAGCAGCAGCAGCCTTGGTAGTGGCAGTAGTAGCAGTGGCAGCACAGCAGGCAGTCTGGTGGTTCAGCTCTCAGGGGAAGCACCCTCTTCTCCCCCATCATCTCCTAACGCGCTGCTCTTCTCGGTCCACCGGGGCCTGGCAGCAGGCAGCGCCATGAGCTTCATTGCAAGGGGAGCCAAACGGGATTTCCTGCTGCAGCCGATTTCAGAGCTCAGAGACGAGCGCTACACCTCCTACTTCAATGTCTCCACTGCCCCGCCACCCGCTCCGCCCTCTCCCTCTCCTCCCTCTCCTCCCTCTCCTCCCTCTCCTGCTCCGGCCCCCTCATTCTGAAAGCTGCGTTTTCCCATTGCAAGAAAAGCCACGAGCTTTCTACGCGCAGAGGGAGCCACGCTGGACTTCCTGCTGCAGCCCATCTCATGGATAAGACATGAAGTAGGTGTAGCATGTCCTACTCCCTACACCTACTTCAATGTCTCTGCTGCTTCGCCTCCTGCCCCACCCTCTCCCCCTCCCTCTCCCACTCCCTTTCCCCCGGCTCCATCACCTTCGTATTGAAGGCCCCACTATGGCATCAGCACTTCACAACTGCAGGCTCTGTTGTAACTGCAGAACAACAGCAACCAGAGCACTTTTTTCCTACACGTCCCTCCAACCAGCCTTTCACTGATCTCCCTTAATTATTCAGCTTTTTGGTTCCTGTATATGTAGATGCAATTTGTTGTAGGTATGTTTGTTCCTACCATCTTATTAAAAAACAAAAGTTTGGATGGTTAGTTAAGGTTTGCACAGATTTATTCCCACCCAATCAGCATTGTTCATAGTTTAATATTGTTAGAATCTAGCAGGAAGGAATGAACTAGGAACAGTTGGGATACAAGTAGAAACCCTAGAATGTGATGAACCCCATGTAAGCTACCCCACTACAGCCTACAAACAACAAACAGCATAATAGTTTAACAAATATATGCTGTTTGCGGTTTGGACACTGCAGTACCCCTATATACAGCATAACATGAACTTGAGGCTTTGAAGCACTTTCTGTATAGAGTGGTCTCAGTCGGATCAGTTCACATCGGACCATATATAAAAAAGTCATTGTAGTTTCTTTGTAGCGAGTCACTTTGTAGTGAGGAAGGACTGAATGCGTTGAAGCAGCTCCGCCTTCACAGGTCCTGGCACAGATGCTGATGTCAGCACATGCAGCACATGCAGCACATGCAATCCAACACACGTGCACGGCAGCACATTGGGTATGGGATGGTTGCAGGTAAATAAATCCCTTCGAAGAAATCAGTCACAAACTCAGGATGCTACCTAGGAGGTTCAATAAGGGTACATTCCTGTCTTAACTTTTGTACCGAATCTAACCCAAGTTCGAAATGTTTTAACAAAGAGGTTTGATTCGGTACAGAGCGGTGGGATTGTGAGACAAATGTCAAGACAGGAATGTACCCTAAAGCCATTCTATCAAAACACATGCGGATGGCGAGCAGAGAAAATATAAGTTTGCTCACAAGCAGGAGAAGCAACACTAGACAAGAAATCAAACACACAACTCTGCCCTCCACACAACTCTGCCCTCCACACAACTCTGCCCTCCACACAACTCTGCCCTCCACACAACTCTGCCCTCCACACAACTCTGCCCTCCACACAACTCTGCCCTCCACGCACCTCGGGCCTTGGGTGTGACGGCCCGTATGAGCTCGTCCAAAGAGACGTTCTCACGGCCCACCTTGCTCACATATGCTCTGATGGATGGACGGACAGTGAGAGAAGAGAGGGAGAGAAAGGGTAAGGGTCCGAGAGAAGACACGCACGCATGCATTTCCACCATCCACATGGCACATGCAAAAGAAACGAAAAAGAAGGTACAGAGGAAACAAATGCCATTAGGCACCCGCGAATAATGCCTGTAGAAGAACTTACCAAGCCACATACGACCCACCCAAACACTCGCCTGGCCAAATACCCACCCACCTGGCACATCACAGCACCCACCCACCTGCCCACCCACCTGGCGTAGACCAGAAGGTCGTCCGTCCACCCACACTCCTCCAGCCTGTCTCTTAGAAGGGTCTTTAACCGCTCCTTCTCCCCACTCTCCAACAGCTGTGTGGAGCGATGGGAAAGGAGGAGGGAGGCGCAGGGAAAGGAAGGAGGACGGGGGGAGGGAGGAGGGACGGATTGGGAAGGGTAAGGAAGGGAGGTGCTTCACCCACCCACACTCCTCCAGTCTCTCTCAGCAGCTACTTATGCCGCTCCTTCTCCCCACTCGCCAACAGCTGTGCGTGGAGAGGGACAGATTGGGAGGGGTGAGGAACGGAGGTGGTTCACCCACCCACACTCCTCCCTCCTCCACAATCTCCAACTCCTGTGCGTGGTGAGGAGAGGGGAGGCGGAGGGAGGGACGAGGACGGAGAAGAAAGGGACAGCCGTAGAGCTTGTTTTGTGTCTGAACCATATAATTCCACCACGCAGCCTGCCCCTTTCACACACACCCCTCTGGAGTCACACACACCCCCCTTGAGTCACACACACCTCGTTAAATTCCCAAACCCCACACAGTCCCACCTTAGCGTCCACCACTTGTCGCAGCGACGTGGGCTCGCCTCCCCCCACTCGCCCCTCTGGCTCCGGCGTTGGCGGGCGGTTCACAGACGACCGTCTGGAATGGCGAGGGGGAAGGAAGGGAGGTTAGGGCGGGTGCGTTGGAATGGCAAATGGGGGAGAGGGGGGCTTGGGCGTTGGCGGGCGGTTCACAGACGACCGTCTGGAATGGGGAGAGGGGAGGGGGGAAGGGTTAGGGCAGGTGCGCTGGGATTGAGAAAGGTGGAGAGGGGGGCTCGGGCGTAGGCGGGTGTGGGCGGGCGGTTCACTGGCGACCGCCTGCAGTGGGGATGGAGGACATGTGCGGGGGAGGTTGGGGGGTGTCAAGGCGGGCGGTTCACTGACGAGGGGGGCGGCTAGAGTAGGGGGGGTTCAGGTGAAGCGTGTCGGGATGGGGGGAGGGGGGTTGGCGGAAAGGATGGGGGAAAGCGCTGGCGGACGGTTCACAGTGGACCAGCGGGAGTAGCGGGGTTAAGGGGCAAGTGTGCTGCAAAGCGCGGAAGGGCAGGGGGAGAAGGGGAGGGGGGTGAGGGAGAGGGAAGGTAGGGAGGGTTGGGGGTGAGGATGGGAGATGCTGGCGGGCGGGCGGTTCGCAGGTGACCGGCTGGTGCGGAGGAAGAGGAGGCGGATGCCTGGGAAGGAGATTAAGGGAGGATAAGTTAGAGATGGAGGCATTAGCGTTGGCACGCGGTGGAGACAAGAGGCTCGGACAGGCAGCGAGAGTGGAGGCGATTTTGAGTTAAAAAAAAAAAGGAGCGAGAGTCTAGGCGGCGGCGACGGTAGGCAGATGAGGGCGACTTAGGGTTCACTCACGACGCCATGCGACGGTGTGAACTCGGCTGCTGTTGCTGCGACGCGCAGGGATCCACGAAGCTGTGGCGCGAGGTGTTGACGATTCAGAAAGATTTTGATGCTGGAAAACAGAATGACGAGGAGTCGCGCGCGGATAACGGAGAAGTAAAAATAGGAATGGGCTAGAAATGCTCAAGAGAAACAGATTGTAACCTGCGCATCCGGGGAATCGAACCCCGGTCAGTACCGTGGGAGGGTACTATGATACCACTACACTAGATGCGCATGCGACGTGAGTTAAACAAAAACATATGAATTGTATCATTAACTGAAGCGTCGTAGATCAGCATCTAGGAGTCCGCCATTGCTGGCAGGATGGAAATCATCTATCGTTGTCCCGACGAAGCAGGCGTGACTGTACCGAGCGGCGTGCTTCTCCCGGAGTTCGCGCTCGAGAATGCGTCGCGATGGGCCAACAGATGCGCCTTCGTCGACGGAGTCACGGGCCGCGCGCTCACGTTCGCTCAGGTGATTCTCCCGCCCTGTGTAGACTCAGTCGGCAGTCCCTAGGTGAATTCGCGCACGAATGACACTCGATAGGTAAATTTGCGTATGCTCAGCTGATCATCTCTAGGTGACTTAACTCGACAATCCCAAGGTGCATTTACGTCTGCTCTGATAATGTATGCAATGATGTTTCCTCATGAGTCGCTCCCCAGTTTCGTTATTCTCCAATGACATGTTTCCCGATTATTTACGCTCAAATGACGTGTTCTTGGATGGCTTATTGCTCAGATGACTCTAGGTGAATTCTCCTAGTAGGTGCATTCAGGCGACACTCCCTAGGTGCATTCGGGCGACACTCCCTAGGTGCATTCAGACGACACTCCCTAGGTGCATTCAGGCGACACTCCCTAGGTGCATTCAGGCGACACTCCCTAGGTGCATTCAGGCAACACTCCCTAGGTGCATTCAGGCGACACTCCCTAGGCGCATTCAGGCGACACTCCCTAGGTGCATTCAGGCGACACTCCCTAGGTGCATTCAGGCGACACTCCCTAGGTGCATTCAGGCGACACTCCCTAGGCGCATTCAGGTGACGCTTCCTAACACATTATCCTGATTGTTTCCTGAGTGCGTGCAGGTGGAGGAGCTAGTGTACAACGTGGCTGGCTGCCGAGTGGATTTGCATGTGTGTGTTGACTCCGTGTAATAGTCAGCCATGGCATGTGTGTGTCGTGTGCTGTGTGCGTGCAGGTGGAGGAACTAGTGTACAACGTGGCTGCTTGTTGGCATTTGAGTTGACGACGCATGACTCAGCCATGGCGTATGTGTGTCCTGTTTCTGTGTGCTGTGTGCTGCGTGCTGTGTGCTGCGTGCTGTGTGCTGTGTGCTGCGTGCTGTGTGCTGCATGCTGTGTGCTGTGTGCTGCGTGCTGTGCATGCGAGCAGGTAGACGAGCTCGTGTACAACATCGCTGCTGGCATCACCGATCTTGGTATCCGGTACTGCCCTCCTCTGCTGCTCTACTCTCCTCTGCAATCCTCTGCTCTGGCAACCATCCTCCGTTTTATCCATTATCCCTTTCCTCCTCAATTGTCTCCGCCCGCCACTTTTCTTTCCGATCTGTGCACCAGTTTTTGTCATGCTCACTCCCCTTCTTCAGCATCCCTATGTCTCCCCATCACACACACTCCAGTCCCCACAACTCCCTCCTTCCCTTCTGTTACCGCCCCCCACCAAGGAGCATGCCTGATAACAGCATGCCTCCCACTGAGGTGCACCTTTCCTTGTTTGGAATGATAACAGCAACCCTTCTGCTGTCCAGTCCAACCTCCGTGCGCCACTCCTCTTCAACCTGCTTGTGTCTCCCTCTCTCTCTCCCCCGTGCAGTCCTAGCGAGGCCCTGCGAGCTGCGGCTGCTCCTCAGCATGACCAAGTCACCAAGCACGCTGTGCTCTCCCTCAGAATCATCACAGCACCTCACCTCCCTCCCATCTCCTGCTACCACCCCCCCTGCTTTCCGTGCAGCCCTGGCGAGTCGGTGCTGCTGCTGCTCCCCAACATGCCCGAGTACGCGGTGCTCTTTCTCGGGATCATTGCAGCGGGTGCGGTGGTAACCACCGCCAACCCCGCCTACAGTGCTCGCGAGCTGGCACACCAGATGGTGGACGCAGGGGCGCGCATGGTCATTACCTCCCCCGACCTGCTAGGTACGACTCGACTCGACTAAATTAACCACGTTTCACCTCACTTCACCGCACTTCACCGCACTTCACTGCTCTTCAGTTGTGCTGCTGGGTGCATCTTACCCAAGTGCCAATGGCGCACCAGATGGTGGATGCAGGGGCGCGCATAGTCATCACTTCGCCAGAGCTGCCAGGCCCAGGTGTGTGTTTCTAAAGCTTCGCACTGGTGGGTGCATGGGCCTTGAGGTGGCCAGGAGGGTGTCTCAACTCTCAACCCCGCCTTCAGCTACATTGCGCGCGTGAGCTGGCGCACCAGTTGGTGGATGCATGCAGGGGCACGCATGGTCATCATCACATCTCCAGAGCTGTTAGGTGCAACGTGGTTTCACTTTGAACTGCTGGTTGCACGGATGGTGGATTGCATGGGTCGTGCGCTGATCGTATTCACTCTGAGTGATCTGCTGGGGTGGGTGTGTTCGCCAGAGCTGATTATTGGAGTGTGTATGAGGACAGGTGATACTGTGCAATGCTCTGACGCATCATGCCATGCCATGTGCGTCTGCTGCAATGCCATGCACGACTCATCTGCTGCAGCGCAGCATCACGCACTCACAACCCTCCACTCACAACCCTCCACTCACTCCCTCCACCTTCACCCCCGCCATGACCCTTCAGAGAAGGTGCACCACGTCAGGACAGGCCAGTCCGTCGTCTTTGTCGTCATCAATAACGACAACAGCAGCAACACTAACAGCAGCACTAACAGCAGCAGCAGCTCCAACCCCCCTGGCACCATCAGCATTGACCGCTTGCTCCGTGCCAATGGGTCCAAGATCCGATCACAGCGACAACACCTCCACACGACCCATCAGCACCACCAGCAGCAGCAACCGCCCTCTTACACAGCACACAGGGCACCACCACCACCAACATCAACATCATCAGTAACAGCAGCAGGAGTGCTTCCCTCCCAGCACGACACGTGTGCGCTGCCCTACTCATCAGGCACGACGGGCGTGTCCAAGGGCGTCATGCTCTCCCACCGCAACCTCATAGCCAACGTGCAGCAGCTGCTGGCGGGGACCAACCCGCGCCTGGACCTGTCCCCTCAAGACGTGGTGCTGGGGCTGCTGCCCATGTTCCACATCTACGCCATCACCCTCGTCAACCTCCTCTCGCTCCGTGCTGGCGCTTGCGTCGTCACTCTCCCCAGGTAAACCCTCGTGCACCTGCAGCAGTACGTGCAGCAACAACCCCCCCCCCCCCCCCCCCCCCCCCCCCTCCCCCCCCTCTCCTGGACCTGTGTGGGGAGGACGTGGTGCTGGGGCTGCTGCCCATGTTCCACATCTGCGCCATCACCCTCGTCAACCTCCTCTCGCTGCGTGGCGGGGCCTGCGTGGTCACCCTCCCCAGGTAACTCCTAACTTAACCCTCCCAAGATAACTTACGACCCAAACCTGCCGAAGCGTTTTGGAGTCAACCCTCCCACGTGCACTGAGCCAACCCTCCCCTCCCCACGTGTACTGAGCCAACCCTCCCCTCCCCACGTGCACTGAGCCAACCCTCCCCTCCCCACGTGTACTGAGCCAACCCTCCCCTCCCCACGTGCACTGAGCCAACCCTCCCCTCCCCACGTGTACTGAGCCAACCCTCCCCTCCCCACGTGCACTGAGCCAACCCTCCCCTCCCCACGTGCGCTGAGCCAACCCTCCCCTCCCCACGTTCGACCTGCAGCAGTGGTTTTGGACTCGTTTTCTTAGAGTTTCCAGAACTACGCCAGCACTGCCTTGAATCCCTACCCACCCTCCTCGCCGACCACGCCCTCCCCAGGTTCGACCTGCCTGCATCAGCACCTGCAGACACTACAGTAGCACGTGGTGACCATCGCCCCCATCGTGCCGCCCATCATCCCAGCCATGGCCAAGCTGCCCCTCGTTGACTCCGTTGACTCCTCTGAATCCTTTCACCTATCTCGCCTCTCCTCCATGCGCCGGGCCCTCACCCTCCCGCCCCAGGTTCGACCTGCACCAGTACCTGCGAACTCTACAGGACCACAGAGTGACCGTGGCGCCCATAGTGCCGCCCATCATCCTAGCCATGGCCAAGCTGACCCTCGTTGACTCCTTTGACTCCTCTGAATCCTTTCACCTATCTCGCCTCTCCTCCATGCGCCGGATCCTCACCCTCCCACCCCAGGTTCGACCTGCACCAGTACCTGCGAACTCTACAGGACCACAGAGTGACCGTGGCGCCCATAGTGCCGCCCATCATCCCAGCCATGGCCAAGCTGCCCCTCGTTGACTCCTTTGACTCCTCTGAATCCTTTCACCTATCTCGCCTCTCCTCCATGCGCCGGGCCCTCACCCTCCCGCCCCAGGTTCGACCTGCACCAGTACCTGCGAACTCTACAGGACCACAGAGTGACCGTGGCGCCCATAGTGCCGCCCATCATCCCAGCCATGGCCAAGCTGCCCCTCGTTGACTCCTTTGACTCCTCTGAATCCTTTCACCTATCTCGCCTCTCCTCCATGCGCCGGGCCCTCACCCTCCCACCCCAGGTTCGACCTGCACCAGTACCTGCGAACTCTACAGGACCACAGAGTGACCGTGGCGCCCATCGTGCCGCCCATCATCCTAGCCATGGCAAAGCTGCCCCTCGTTGACTCCTTTGACCTCTCCTCCCTGCGCCGGGTTGTGTCGGGCGCGGCACCCCTGGGAGCGGAGCTTGAGACCGCCTTCAGAGCGAAATTCCCAACTGTGCAACTGGGGCAGGTAGGCCAGGGGCAGGTACGCCAGGGGCAGGTAGGCCAGGGACAGGTAGGCCAGGGGCAGGTAGGCCAGGGGCAGGTAGGCCAGGGACAGGTAGGCCAGGGGCAGGTAGGCCAGGGACAGGTAGGCCAGGGGCAGGTAGGCCAGGGGCAGGTAGGCCAGAGACAGGTAGGCCAGGGGCAGGTAGGCCAGGGGCAGGTAGGCCAGGGACAGGTAGGCCAGGGGCAGGTAGGCCAGGGGCAGGTAGGCCAGAGACAGGTAGGCCAGGGGCAGGTAGGCCAGGGACAGGTAGGCCAGGGGCAGGTAGGCCAGGGACAGGTAGGCCAGGGGCAGGTAGGCCAGGGGCAGGTAGGCCAGGGGCAGGTAGGCCAGGGGCAGGTAGGCCAGGGACAGGTAGGCCAGGGGCAGGTAGGCCAGGGGCAGGTAGGCCAGAGACAGGTAGGCCAGGGGCAGGTAGGCCAGGGGCAGGTAGGCCAGGGGCAGGTAGGCCAGGGGCAGGTAGGCCAGGGGCAGGTAGGCCAGGGGCAGGTAGGCCAGGGGCAGGTAGGCCAGGGGCAGGTAGGCCAGGGGCAGGTAGGCCAGGGGCAGGTAGGCCAGGGGCAGGTAGGCCAGGGGCAGGTAGGCCAGGGGCAGGTAGGCCAGGGGCAGGCATTCCTGCCTGGGGCAGGTGGGAATGGGGCATGTAGGCATGAGACAGGTAACTGCAGCTGGGGCAGGTGCAGCTGGGGCAGGTGCAGCTGGGGTAGGTGCAGCCGTCTTCTCCTCTCTTCTCCTCCCCGCTCTCCCCTTGGGGCTACAGCATAACAGAGCCCTTACGCATGTTTCCTCCTCACCCTTCCTTCTTCTAAACACTGGCTTCTGTTTCACTTCACACCGCCCCTTCTCTCCCATTTCCCCCTTCCCAACCATCAGGCTACAGCATGACGGAGGTATCCCCCACTGTCTCTGCCTCGCGTCTCTGTGCCCGTGTGCCCTGCCGCTCATCCTCCTGTCCTCTACCCTCTATCCTTTGGATTCGCATTCACCCTCCAATTCTCTTCCCCCTCCCCCCTCCCCTCCTCTCCCGCCCCTCAGGGCTACGGCATGATAGAGGCCTCTCCCACCGTCACTGCCTCGCGCCTATTTGCCCCACCCGCCTGCTCCCGGGTCGTGTGGGTTGGTGCTGCCACTGACGGAGAGGTGAATGTGCGGGTTCTTGTAACTTGTACCCCTCCCCATGCACCCCTCAGGGCTACGGCATGACAGAGGCCTCTCCCACCGTCACTGCCTCGCGCCTATTTGCCCGCGTGCCCCGCCCGCCCGCTCCCGGGTCGTGTGGGTCGGTGCTGCCGCTGACAGAAGTCAAAGTGGTGCACACGAGCACTCTTCCTCCCTCCCCCCCCCCCCCCCCCTCTCAGGGCTACGGCATGACAGAGGCCTCTCCCACCGTCACTGCCTCGCGCCTATTCGCCCACGTGCCCCGCCCGCCTGCTCCCGGGTCGTGTGGGTCGGTTCTGCCGCTGACGGAAGTCAAGGTGGTGCACACGAGCACGGGGGAGTCGCTGCCGCCCAATGAGAGAGGGGAGCTCTGGGTGCGAGGGCCACAGGTCATGAAAGGTGGGCGTGGGTGTGAGTGCCTGTGTGTTGGGGCGCATGTGTGTGCCAGTGCGTGTCAGTGCCTGTGTTGCCTGTGTGTGTGTGTTGCCTGTGTTGCCTGTGTGTGTGTGTTGCCTGTGTGTGTGTGTTGCCTGTGTTGCCTGTGTTGTCTGTGTGTGTGTGTTGCCTGTGTTGCCTGTGTGTGTGTGTTGCCTGTGTGTGTGTGTTGCCTGTGTTGCCTGTGTGTGTGTGTTGCCTGTGTTGCCTGTGTGTGTGTGTTGCCTGTGTTGCCTGTGTGTGTGTGTTGCCTGTGTTGCCTGTGTGTGTGTGTTGCCTGTGTTGCCTGTGTGTGTGTGTTGCCTGTGTTGCCTGTGTGTGTGTGTTGCCTGTGTTGCCTGTGTGTGTGTGTTGCCTGTGTTGCCTGTGTGTGTGTGTTGCCTGTGTTGCCTGTGTGTGTGTGTTGCCTGTGTTGCCTGTGTTGTCTGTGCCTGGGTCGTGTGGGTGGATGCGGCCGCTGACGGAGGTGAAAGGGCCACGAGAGAGGTGCTGTTTAAAAACAAGCACGGTGAAGTCGCGGCCGAGAGGTGAGCTCTGGGTGCGTGGGTGTGTCCGTAGTGCGAGGGCCACAGGTCATGAAAGGTGGGCGTGTGGGAGGGTGGGTGTGGATGGGAGGGGGCGTGCTTGTGTTGGAGTGGGATACCTTGGAAGTTGGGTGCACGTCTTGAAAGGTGCGTTTCCTTAGCTCCCCAGGTTCAAACGTGAGTTTGTAGCCGTCCAATCCAATCCTGTTTTTCCTGTACCTCCACTGTGCGCTCACTCCATTTGCCAATCCCCTTGTCAGCCCAAAGGCCATCTCAGCAATCCGCTTTCCCCCCACCCCTCTCCACCCTATCTCTACATCCCCCCCACCCCCCCCCCCCCCCCCCCGATCAAACCCATTCCCCCCATTTTCTCCATGCCCTCCATGCTGCCTGCCTCTCTTCCCAAGGCTATCTGAACAACCCCAAGGCAATAGCAGCCATGCTCATGCCTGACGACTTTCTGAGCACGGGGGGGATGGCGTATGTTATCTCAGCGATCCCCTTTTTCCCAACCCTTTCCACTCTATCTCTCCATCCCCCCCAATCATCCCCACCATTGTGGTCCTCTCCATCCCGAAGGCTATCTGAACAATCATGAGGCGACCGCAGCCACGCTCACGCCTGACGGCTGGCTGCGCACTGGGGACGTGGCCTATGTGGATGGGGCGGGAGAGATTTTCGTGGTGGACCGGGTCAAGGAGCTCATCAAAGTCAAGGGCTTCCAGGTGGGGTGTGACTAACAAAATGTGTTAGTTTGGATGCGGATGTGGCGTATTTGGATGGCCAGGGGAGGATCTTCGTGGTGGATCAAGTCAAAGTCAAAGAGCTCTTCAAAGTCAAGGGCTTCCAGGTGGGAATGGTGCTCTTGTGAGGCGTGACTGTAGTGAATGTGTTTGTTTCGGAGGGGGATGCGGCATATGTGGATGGGGTGAGAGAGATTTTCATGGTGGATAGACTCAAGGAGCTCATCAAAGTCAAAGGCTTTCAGGTGGGATGCGACTGTAACGAGATTTTTGCTGCACGAGGAAAAATGCCTTTTTGTCCCTGAATCTGTCTTACTCCTCTGAAGTGTATGCAGGCTGCAATGCAAGGTGTTTCTGACTTGTCCCTTTCTCTGTATCCTGCTCTCCCAGGTGCCTCCTGCGGAGCTGGAGGGTCTGCTGGTCGCCCATCCTGACATTGCCGATGCTGCAGTTGTTCCGTACGCTTCCATTCTCTCGCCTCTCTTGCCCTGCTTGCAACTCTCGCGTCTTGCACTCTCACTGTCTCGTCTTCTTAAATGTAAACTATGTTAGCGAGTTTTTCCTGTATTTTCTGCTGCCGCAGCTATATTTTTTGGCAGTGTGGCAGTATCATACCGTAGACTGTTTCATGGGTCATTTTGCATCGAATCTTGCTCTGTTTTTCCCTTCCCAATTTTCACAGCGCAACAAGTGAAGAGAGTGGGGAAGTGCCAGTGGCATTTGTTGTGTTACGTCAAGGTGGTGCCAAGCTGTCCGTCAACGAAGTCAAGGATTTTATTAGCAAGCAGGTGAGTGCGATTAGTGAATGCACAGTTCATATAGCACAACCCATGCACAGTTCATGTTATTTGGTTTGCTGCAGGTGGCGACATACAAGAGGCTTCACGATGTGATATTTGTGGATGCAATTCCGAAGACCGCTTCTGGCAAGGTGTTGCGCAAGGACCTGAAGGCACGACTATGAGGACATGTACAGGCGCGGATGTGGCATTTTTGTTTGCATAAATTTGTGATTACTATAGTATGATTTGTTGGGGGGCATACATACCTGTACATGAGAAAGGTTACGCTCTTGTGCTACATTGGCGCACACTACAAGGACCCTGCTTCAGGTTCTTTCTGCGGGGACAGGTCGTTTGAAAAGCGCTGGCGGGAAAAAATTTTGTGGTCCCACACGCGAGGAATCGCATGCCGAATCGCTAATTGCTGACGTGTACATTGGGATTGCGGAAACATCTAGGGCTCGCATCTAGCACGATTACAAACTGATGTCCAAACACGGGCGAAATCCACTGACACGTGAGGAAAGTTGACGGCCACACTGACAACTGAAGAGCACCCTCGTCTACTTCTACTGATTCCTGTGCTCCGTTGAGGCAATCCCTGAGGCCGTTTTGTAATGGCTGTTGGAATTGCGGGTTAGTCATCATTTTAGCTCGGATTCATTAATCTTCCGGGGTAGTGACTGCTTCTGATGCTTGTAAGGCTGACGCTCTTAGAGCTCTTTTGTCATGTGCTATGAAATACGCATCGCTTCTCAGTGAGGATTACGTTTAGCGAGTTCTCAAGACTTGTTTGTAACGGTCGTTTTCTCTTGGTACCATTACTGAAGCTGCACGTGACATCCCTAAAGCCTTACTTGGAGAAGCTCTAGTGACGGCTGCAATCAGCCATGCCCGGCACCGTGCGAATCACAGGTACTCATAGTTGCTGAGATAAGCTCATTCAGTTAACTGACATTCTTTGGTGTCATTACTTTATCCTATGGCGTGCGACAGTTACCTCGTCCGTTCACCCACATTCTTCGTTGACGCGGTAGAGTTACGTGAAATCATTACTGTTTACATCTTTCGTTTCTTTTATTTGTCGGAATTCTGCAGTGTTGGAGGTCGTCGATCTTCCAGGACCATTAGGTACTCGATGGCTCTTATTCTGCTGATCCTTCGTCTCTACCTCCGTCGTTCTTCTACGAGATTTTTGTGGTCTGCATTCTTTCATCGGAATCTATCTAACGTACTCTTTTCGCTCATTGTGTGTCTCGACAAACCCAAAACGTCATTATAGGGAGGAAATATGCAATTCAAGGTGAGTTGAAGAAGACACGGCTTTTACACAATATTTTGTATTTGCTGGCCAGGTTCGGTGCTGACTGTTCACTTGAGTTGTTGCAGTCTCCGTCGGCGCACGATCATTTTCCACGGATGAGCAAGCGTCGACGCCCTCAGGATCAGGAACGTCATCTATCAAGGCGTTCAACTCGGATTTTGCTTTGTACGACTTTCTGACACTTCCAGACTCTTACCTCTTCCTGATCGCATATATCTTCAACTTCAACAGTCTGTTGATTGTCGCCCTTTCCGCGTCTCTGAGAGCCCACGCTGTTCCTAAAGCCATGTGGCCAGGGAATGGACTTGGTCTCTGCATGTGTGGCCAATGTGTTTTCTTACACGTTGCTATTGATGCACGTTGCCGTATCTGATGCAGTGCGGTGCTCAACCTAACCGATCCTGTGGTCTTCACACTCCTTGACGCACGTGGTGTAGCTGTTTGCAAGACCTGTGAGTCCAATCAGACCCACATTTTGCCATGATCCTCATTCCTTGGTCATGACATGTACAGGAGTTGTGACAGGTTGAGAAAACAGACGAAGCAAGTGTGACTTTGTTTTTCTTCATTTTCCCGCACTTCCTGTGGTCGTGCAGCTCTGTCTGTGCCTTCCGTGGTGGAAAAAGGCTTTCGTGATGACATGCTTCCATGGAGCAACGGAGGCCAAGTCCATGTCAAGTCCAACTTCATGCTCAGTGATGAGGAACGAGCCAAGATTGCGGCTATGGTGAGTCAATCCCAAAGTAAGCAAATCAGGTCCGCCACTGTAATCAGAAGTCATGAAATAACAAAACACCGCGAGGTGCATGGCGCAGCAATAAGGCCGTCCGCCAATGCAAGAAGCGTCTGTAATACATAGTCGTCCCCCCTTCGTCCATTGTTTTGCACTACCTTCCAGAAGAATCGGTTACGTTTCTTTTGGTCCTAAGAACTCTCCGCTGCCCCCTTGCTTTGAATCATGACCTGTTAACAGCGTGCCAGATCGATGAGCAAGCGCAAGGATGGCAGCAGCAGTGGCACTGTGACTCCCATTGCCAGTGGCACCGTGACACCCCGCACTGTCAGTGCCGTGCTCGCCTCTCCCGTTGCGTCCACTGCTCCAGCAGCCTCCGAGGCTTCAACAGCGACTGAAACAGCAGCAGCGAGCACCACAGAGGTGACTGCTGCCACTACAACAACGACGACGATGACGACCACCACCACCGTCACCACAAGCACAACTGCGACAACTGAAACCGCTGCAGCTGGTACAGTCACAGCGTCTACAGCTACCAGTATCGTGTCAGCTGCTGCCCAGAAGGAAAGCGGGGCTGTGACAGCAGCGCTTGCAGGGAGTGCAGCTGCTGGGGCTCCTGTGGATATGGCCAACGTGATGCTGGTGTTTGATGGTAGCGATGACGAGTCTGGCTATACTGAGTCGTCGCTAGAAGAGTCTGTCAGTGCGCAGGTCGCTCCTGCTGCACCTGTCGCTGCAGCTGCTGTCCCTGCTGCTGCCTCCCCTGCGGTTCCCACTGCTGTCCCGGATTCTGTCCCTGAGGTTGCTGCTGCTTCAGTTTCTCAAGCTGCTCAAGCGGTGCAGGTTCAGGATCCTGACTCGATTGCACCAGCAACAGTGGAGGTGGTGAAAGAGGTGCAGAAGGAGGTTCAGGCCACATCAGCACAGGTGCGTGCAAACTCGTGTGTGCAATTGTCATGGTTTGGCAGATGCGTGCAGCAGGTCGCGTTTTCCGGGGTTGTGATGCCTGTGCTGATTTTCTTTCGTCTGCAGCGAAGCATTCCAGCTCTGTGATTTTTTGTTGGGCCAACAGATTCGTTCTCTGTGCGTCCATGTTTGCCGGTGATCATGTGGCTTGCAGCAAACAGCGTCAACGACCACGACCAAGACTGACATCACCATCATCAAGACCGCCACGCAGGTGGCCAGCGAAGCCACAACCATGACATCAGTAAAGGCCGCCTCAGTCACTACCTCAAACAAGGCCGCCACCTCAGCAGCAGCCGCATCTGCAGGGGCCTCCGTGCAGGCCGCTATGAGCAGCACAACAGGCAGGGCGAGCGAGCAGTCTAGTGTGCGAGGAGGTGGTGGGGTTGCAGCTGACCTCAATGGCCGTGTTGGCAGCAGCAGCCGACAGCCAGCGGTGGCAGACAGTGAAGCCGCAGAGAGCAGTTCGGAGAGCGGGGATGAGGTGGAGAGCATGGAAGGGTCGTCAGTATCAGGGACGACAGACAGGCAGGTGGTTAGGAGGAGCAAGAGGCGAAATCGCAACGGAGGACTGTTGAGCCAGGTGCTGCGGGTTGGCGATGGGCTCACGCCAGTGATGAAGCAAGTGCTGGGGACGGGGGCGTTCATGCTGGCTATGGTTGCGCTCTGGCCGCGCCCACAGAAGCAGAGCCGAGTCAAGCTGGAGTGAGTCGTGTGATTGGTGCTGGTGTCACGCATTTCGCACTGCCAGCAGGTCTCATTACCGCAGTGCATCTCACATTGACACTTCCTGACCGCCTCCACTGCTGCCCTCCATTTTCTGACTTAACCCGGCCTCAATCCACTTCTTCTTGCTGATTAACTGCATTCGTGCTGCAAAGTGAGCTGGCTGAGTATTAATCCCATCTGAGCTTTTTCCAATTGCACCTTGCTTTGCATGGACTTCGCATTCACATTGACTCTGGATGCACGATGGTTGCTGGCTGCTGGTGGCGATGGTGGCATTGTAATCTGCACGCTTTGGCTTCTTTGGAACCCAATCTGCAGAACTGATGCTGATGGCAAGTGAGTGGTGCTCTCTACCTTCCCTTCTGCCCCCTCCGCACTGCCTTCCTTCCTACCCGTTTCCCACTTTAATCACCCCCTGGTTCTGTCGCTCTCTTGCTTGCATGTCCTTCCCTCCACTCCATGGCGATTTTACCATACGTATTAATCTGCAAGACCTTTTTACTTCCCCTATCTCCTCCTGAATTTCATTCGTTTCCTATCCATTGCACTCCCTTGCGTACCACCCTTCACGCCACGAACATAGGGTGTGGGTGGTGAAGCCGGGTGAAACCCTCAGCTCTATTCTCCCGCGTGAAGTATACTGCAATCCCTCCTCAAAGTTCTTCGAGCTCAACCCAGAGGTATCACTGCCATCCCCTCCCCCCCCCCCCCCCCCCCCCCTCCCTGCCACCACGCGCCTGATGCTCCTCACGCATCTAGCCACCCTTTCCTCTATTTGCTTTCGATCTGCTACCTTGCGCCTCATTTTTTCCATCACACCCGTCACTCCATGTAGTCACTCAGCTGATTGCTCCTACGCTGTGCGATCATGCTTATTTTGTATGATCACCCTACTTCCTCATTCCTTCTTGATTGCAGGTTTGCGACATCAACAGAATCTACTCCGGCCAGCGCCTCGTCCTCCCGTAACCTTGCACTCATCACCCTACAGGCGTACCGCATATCACCCACTGCACGGCCACTCGTCCCACCTCAAGATTGACAATATCGCCTGCTTAATGTGTGCTCTTTTATGACCAGCCTCACAATGACCTTTTCCACGTGTGGCGATCAAATGAGTATTCAACCCATGTCCATGAGGGTGAATGTCACTCCGTATCAATGTCAAAACCTAGACTCTCCAGTCATACAGACACATGCAGGATACAATCATACAACTACTCTTGTACTTTAGCACAAGGTAATATGGTATAAGCTGGTGACAATGAGCCTGACCACGTGAAGCCAGCTGCCAGCTCCATTCGCAATTTTTCACAGGGTGTTGGTATTTCCAGCTAGAAAACACCGAGATGTCATATTTGGGTAGCAGGTACACCATTGTGGTGTCAGTATATCTGCACTGTGCATCCCCGATTGATCGTAGAGGGGTTACAAGCGCGTTGCCTGGGGGGTTATGGGCGCACGGACCCGCGACACAAACGAGTCATTTTATCCCATTGGTCTAATGGCTTGGATTCTGACATGTGGTGCACTAACGCTCACACACCACTCGATAGGGGTACTGTCAGAAGTCTAGGCAGGAATGAATGAACTAGCAGCATGATGGGTACAAGTAGGAAACCCTAATCTGGGTTGTACCCCATATGGGCGGACTACAGCCTACACAATAAGCAGCATATATGTTTGACACACCCCCGTATGCAAATTGGGGGAGAACAAGAGGTCACAGGACCAGTCAAGAAAGGCAAAGCAAGCTCAGGGTGGATCACAAAGTCACCACGCATTCTGAGCCTAAGCAAAGGGCCACAAGGCCAGTTCACATGCAGAGGTATATATGCAACAACACAGTACAGTGATCACTACCTAGCAAGAGCAAGCATGCAGGTATATATACATAGATCACAGTACAAGCAAAGCCTACAGCAAGTGAGGAAACGTAGGCACGAGGCCCAACAAAGTACAAAAGCGCTGATGATCACCAGACGGAAGTGCCTTGGTGAATATATCAGCAGTGTTGGCCCTGGTGGCCACGTGAGCAAGACGAAGCTGACCACGCTGCTGTAACTCTCGAGCCAGGAAGTAACGCAGAGCGATATGCTTCGTTCTGTGCTCCAGTCTGTGCTCCTGACACAAGGCAATGGCGGCCTTGTTGTCGACGTACAGAACTGGAGGAGAACGAGGCCTCTCTCCCAAGTCAGTCAGCAGGTAGGTGAGCCAGCGCAACTCCTGAGCAGCCATGGCTGTGGCGTAGATCTCAGCCTCACAGCTGGAGCTGAGAACAGAAGACGAGCGAGTAGAACGCCAAGAAACAGAGCCAGAGCCAAGGCTGAAGGTGTAACCCTGTGACGACCGCTGCGTAGCCTGGTCGTCAACCCAAGAAGCGTCTGAGTGCCCAGTGAGGACAACGTCGCTCCGTCCTCCAAGCACGAGCCCCATGCCCGATGTATTGCACAAGTAGCGCAGTACCCTCTTTGCAGCATCCATGTGCACCTTTCGGTGCCGACCAGGAGCCACGTAGCGAGCCAAAAGGCCAAGAGGGTACGCAAGGTCAGGTCGAGTGCAGGTCATCAGGCAGGGTCGTCGCTAGCAGAATTTTTTTGTCTGTTTGCCTTATCTTCAGATCGAGTTTTTTGAGTTCATCTGATTTTTCAGAAATTGGTTTTTGTAATTTCTGATTGATAAGGAGTAGTTTTTGAGTTTATCTGATCAATCAGGTTCTTGTTTTGGTTTCATCTGATACCGAATCCAATTATGTAGGGGTGAATATGGGATTCGAGTTGTGAATGGGCGAATCTGATGCGTCAGGAGGCGAATCTGTTAGTGTCAGGGCGAATCTGTTAGTGTCAGGGGGCGAATCTGTTAGTGTCAGGGGGCGAATTTGCTGTGTCAGGGGCGAAATTGTTGTGACGGGGCGAATCTGCTGTGTCAGGGTGACGGCGAATCTGCTGTGACGGGCCGAATTTGCTGTGAGGGGGTGATTCTGCTGTGACTGGTCAAGTCCGAATCAATTGCGTCAGACATGAATTTCGAAAATATCTGATACATCAGACACGGTAAAAAACAGAATGTGATGGATCAGACGGGCCCGAAGGGCCCGTCTGATCCATCAGGCCCCCTCAAATCCTAGCGACAACCCTATCATCAAGTACATGAGGCAGCCCACTAGCTCTGCGTAAGGACCACTCGACTCTACGGACTCGTCCGAAGGTGGAGCTGAGAGTGAGTGACCTGTAGCAAGAGGAGTGGACTGTGAGGAGGACCAGGTGAAGCCGAAGTGCTGAAGGACCTGCTGCACCATGTGTGACTGAGTCAGTGTGATGGTGCGGCGTGCTCTGTCCCGGGTGATCTGCAAGCCAAGGTAACTGCGTAGCTCACCCAGGTCAGTGCACGTGTGTCTCTTCTGCAGCTCCGACTCCACTAGAGCGAGAGCCTCAGTGTCAGCAGTAGCAAAGACCAAGTCGTCGACGTACACGAGGATGTAGAACGGCGGCAGCGAAGTGTCGGTGCGCAGAAACAGCGACGGGTCAGCAGTCGAAGGAGCGAACCCAAGAGCCGCAAGTGTAGTCCTCAGTGTGTCGTGCCACTCACGAGGTGCCTGGCGGAGACCGTAGACTGGCCGCCGGAGGCTCCACTGGGTACCAGGAGGGAACGACCCAGTGAAGCCAGGTGGGCGGCGCAGCCAGATCTCCTCGTGCAGGCTGCCCTGTAAGAAGGCTGTGCTGAAGTCAAGAGAGTGAAGCTCGTAGTCACGCTGAGCGGCAACGTGCAGCAGCACCCGAAGAGTGGTCATCTTCGGGGTAGGGGAGAAGGTCTGGAAGAAGTCAACTCCCTCACGCTGACTGAAGCCTCTAGCAACGTAACGAGCCTTGAAGACAGGTGGAGAACCTGGCGGCCGCTTCACCCTGAAAATCCACATGCCATCGACGATGTTCGCCCCAGGAGGGGGAACCTCATCGACGTAAGTGCCAGTGGACTTCCAGGATGCCATCTCTGCGTCCATGGCTGCCTGCCACTGAGAGGAGTAGGGACCCGCGATCGCCTCAGCGTAAGAGCGCGGGGTCGGGATGTCTACAGCATCCGGGTCTCCCTCAGGGGCAAGCAGCATGGCCACGAGATGAGGCGCAGCGGCTGCAAGACACTCAAGGTCCTCCTGCCTGTCCTCAAGAACGTCCGTGCCAAGAGCACACTCATCCCCGACGGACGGAGGACAGACAGAGTCAGACTCAGCAATAAGGCTAGCGGCGTAGTCTAGACGACAGGCAGCAGCAAAGTCAACAAGCTCAGCGACTAAGGCAGACGCAGCAGCAGACTCAAACGACGGGTCAGTGACAACAGTGGCTAGTAGACGCGTGACAGTAGGGTGCTCAGCACGAAACCGGTCAGACTCAGGGTCGGCAACGTCAGGCAGAGAGGACGCAGGGGGAGACGGCAGAGGAACAGACTGCGGAGCAGAGGAAAGACGACGGACTACGAGGTGTGTACCGGGGACAGCCGGCTGACGCGAACGAGGAACACGACGACCGGAACGACCAGGATGAACAGGCGAGACAGGACGCGACGCAGGCTCATGACGCTCAGCAAGACCACCAGGCTGCTCAGTGTAAGGAGAAGGAGCAGGGAGCGGTGAGCCAGGCAGTAACGGAAGACCAGTAGACGACGGAAGGGTAAGAACCTGACGAAGAACAGAGTCAGGCGGCGGCAGAGACGACGGAGACGGCGGAGTGAAGAACAGTCGTGTCGGCGCAGCTGCACCAGCACCGGCAGCTCCAGCAGCTCCAGTGGCTCCAGCACCTCCAGTAGCTCCAGCACCTCCAGCAGCTCCAGAACCTCTAGCGCCAGCACCACCAGCAGCAGCACCCCCAGAACCAGTTTCTCCAGTCCTAGGGTCGCCAGCCTCAGTGTCTCCAGCAGCAGCACCCCCAGACGCAGCACCTCCAGCCCCAGCAGCTCCAGTACCTCCAGTACGAGCACCTCCGGGACCAAGGACTCCAGCACCTCCTGTAGACACAGCACCACTCCCAGCTCCAGCGACGACAGCAGAAACACCTCCAGCGGTAGAGCCCCGAGCTCCAGCAGCGCGACCCTGACGGCGAGTGTACCACTCGTGCAGCTGCTGCGGGGAGAGAGGCGCACGCGGACGAAGGCGGCTACTCCAAGGAGACCGCGCACCAGCAGTCTCAGTACCCGCAGGCGCCGCACCCCCAGACTCAGCACTCTCAGGCTCAGCACCCCCGGACGCAGCACCCCCAGGCACAGCACCTCCAGTCTCCGCACGCACAAGCTCAACACCTCCAGCAGGCAAAGAACCAGCACCACTCCCAGCTCCAGTGACGTCAGCAGAAGTACCTCCAGCAGTAGAGCCCCGAGCCCCAGCAGCGCGACCCTGACGGCGACCGTACCACTCGTGCAGCTGCTGTGAGGTGAGAGGCGTACGCGGACGAAGGCGGCCACTCCAAGGAGACCGCGCACCAGCAGTCGCAGTACCCTCAGGCGCCGCACCCCCAGACTCAGCACCCCCAGGCTCCTCACGCTCAGGCTCAGTACCTCCAGGCTCAGCACCCTCAGGCCCCTCACACGCAGGCTCAGCACCCTCAGACTCGGCACCCCCAGGCTCAGCACCTCCAGGCTCCTCACGCTCAGGCACAGCACCCCCAGACTCCGCACCCCCAGGCTCAGCACCCCCAGGCTCCTCTCGCTCGGGCTCCGTACCCCCAGGCTCAGCACCCCCAGAGACAGCACCCCGAGCAGGACTACCCCCAGCAGGACCTGAGTCACCAGTGACCTCAATAGTCGCAGGCACAGGAGGATCTACCTGAGAAACACCTGAAGGAGCAGGACCTGGCGCGGGGAGGGGGTCTACCTGGGAAGGACCTGGAGCGAGAAAGAGCGGCGGGGGGGGGGGGGGGGAGAGGGGCAGTGCGGTAGGGAAAGAGACGGTAAAAGGGGACGAACTCGTCAAAAGTGACGTC